CCTCTCCAGTTATTCACAATAAATATTTTAAAAATAATAATAGTCACTGCACTTCTGCAGTGCACCTCCGCACTTTTCCTGCAGGAGAAGGGGCACGCTGAGTTTACAATCTTTTTCAAAATTACCTGTCTGAAGATTATTCCTTCCATCTTTTGTACTACTTAAGTAGCTCTCTCTTAGCTACACCTGGAGCAAGACCTACACTATGACAAGATGCTGCACTAACATGTAGCAACTATTCCACTATATGCAGATAATATCAGGATAAATATATTAAAATTAATCACAAATAATTTATTTTAGAATTAGGCCTTTTTAGGTGCACATTTTGCATGCTTAGCAATGAGGTTTAGCAATTGGCAAGAGAGTGGAAGCTTTAACTTCTATTCTTGTAAAAGCTTACTCATTCAGTCTTTTTGTACATCTGTAAAACAGACATAATTTGTTGGTCAACTGTTCCCAAATACACATCCCTCTTCCCCCACTACCTTGAAAACATTGTACTGCAAAGCACTAAGTGCTTAACACTATCACACCAAAAGTTGACGGTGTAGCAGCGCAAAAATATTGGTTTGTTTCTTTTTTAATTCTATATATATATATATATATATATATGCACACAAGTCTATGCATACACACTTAGAAGATGCAGAACATCTTGATATTCAGGCAATTACAGTTGTGGTTCTTCCTTCATAGGAGAAGCATCAAACAATGCAATGTAATTTGTAAAGCAGCTTTTCTGATTTATAACAAACTTTGATGGTATGGAGAAAAAAAAAAAAAAGGATGACGACAATGGCTTCAACAATAAAATATTTCAGTGGACAGAAACAACTGACAGAATATGCTTGGTGTTTATTTTGGCTTGCCTTGACAGGTTATTTCACCCTTACTATCTTGTTTCAATAAACCGTCTATCACCTGAAAATTAATAACTATAGGATGTTTTCTTGAACATAAACTTCACAGAAGAACCCAGTTTGGATCCTCTGTTGCTTCCAATCCTATTTGTCTCCAAGGAACATACAGCTCAACTTGAAGAGAAACAGCCTGAAGCACTTAAACAATTCATCTTTTGTTAAAGACAAATCAGAGTTTTAAACATTGTATAGCAAAAAAAGGGAAGCACTAATACGGGAAAAGATAGAGGATAAACAAAACATCTTTATAGTAAGTATACTATCAAGTTGTAACAAACCATTTCAGAAATTCTGAACTGCAGATGAGAATTGCTTTGACAGGAATATACTCTTAAAAATCGCATCTGCATAAACAGAAATCTTGACTTGTAATAGCTCATACCATTCTTTAGAAAATTGATGCCTTAACTGCTACAAAACAATCTTCTGTTCTCATATTTTAACATGTTTCCAGCTGTCTGAAGCTAACTAGATAAGCCAGAAGACAAAGTGGGACTCATACATGTGACTCATTTGAGTCAGTCTGGGTGAAGAGAACAAATTCTGTTCCTAACGATCGCACAGAGTGGTTGAGCTCGGAAGGGACCTCTAGAGGTCATCTAGTCCAACCCCCCTGCTCCAGCAGGGACACCCAGAGCACAGGGTGGCATCCAGGTGGGTTTGGAAGATCTCCAGAGAAGGAGACTCCACAGCCTCTTTGGGCAGCCTGTTCCAGGGCTCTGTCACCCTCACAGGAAAGAAGTTCTTCCTCACATGGAGGTGGAACTTCCTGTGTTTCAACTTGTACCCATTAGCCCTTGTCCTGTCACTGGCCACCACAGAGAAGAGTTTGGCCCCATCCTCCCTACATTCACCCCTCAGATACTTGTACATGTTGATCAGATCCAATCTGTCTTCTCCAGGCCAAACAGGCCCAGCTTGCTTAGTCTTTCTACCATCAATCCAGAGCATGTTGCCTACCATGGATATTGCAAAAGATACAAAATAAAAGCACTATTTTTATCCCTAAAGTTACTTTTAAATGGAGTTCTGTTGAGAGAATAAAGCAACTGGAATAGCCAGCTAGTAACCATTCTATTTTTTGAACATGTAAAGTGCAGAATCATAGTATTTAAATCATTTCGTTAAGTTGGTCTAGCTAGTTTCTAGTTAAAGACACTACAGAAAAATGTGAATTTATAGAGCCTGTAAACATTAGCTCGCCCATGCACCACATAGGATATTCCTAAACTTTGCATGGCAGCAAAGCTAGCAAGTTAGAGGCCAGCCTGAACAGGGAACACTACCTGTCACAGACCTCCTAAGCCATGTGAGCATGGTAGCCCTGAAGCAGCATCATATGGGTTACTGCACAGACACTACGCAGCCGCACAAATGACTATCCTGCAAATTAATGCAACTGCTCCCTTTGAACAGTGCCCCAAACACAAAACTCTGCAAGAGCACTGGAAAGAGCTGCAATGCATCAAGGAAAAGGCCAGGTGCAGTGAGAACATCCAAACCCCTTTGTCTTAAAGCAATCAGGTAGAGTAAGGTGAGAAGACTGGAACATGGAAGTCCTTCATTTGGTATGTAATGATATAAACTAGATGAATCCCCCAAATGGAAATACTTGTATTGCAGCTAGGCTAAATAAGCGTTAGTTTAGCGTAGAATGAAATACAAGGTAAACCATAAGCAGCATTATGGGAATCAAAGTTGGAGCCAGCATGACAAACGTACTTCTGTAGCTACGCGAGCACAACTACCAGCTCTAGGTACACGACACATTCAGACATCCGTGCTTGTGGCCAGGCTGCACCCGTTACCTACCTCCAAATAGACCAGCTACAGAAGAAGGCTCATTGCGGAAATGAGAAGCGTTAGGGTAAGCTTGAGGACCACAAAAAGAATCTGACAGGGCATATTGCACGAGAGAAAGCCAGAAAGGAGAAGAGGCAGAGTTACAGAAAGAGAACCAAGATACACTTTTAATTTGCTATAAAAAATAACAACTTCAGCTCAAAGTCAGGCTGCAAAACTACACATAGTCAAATAACATGGAGGCAACAGTTATATACATCAGACATACACTAAGAAATGAGTTTACATTAACTAACACAAAAGGGAAAAGTACAGCTTCAAAATTACAGCTATAATGGGATATGTATGTTTTTCCCCAAAGTAAATGCCATGTTTTACACCCTTTGGAGACACGAGTGTAAAAGCTTCAAGGCATTTTTCTTATACCTGAAGTATAACGATAGAGCCCAACAGTGGATTCATATTTGGTTGCCACAAAGGGATTTAGTTCAGTAAATGGATTGTAATGATCTAAAGAACCAGAAAGAATTATTTTAAGTCCACATTTGCATTAGCACAGCTCTTCGGGCTAGAAGCTAAGACTGCATTTACATTTCACAGATCAATTTGTCAGCAAAAAAAGTTAATAATCGGTCATATATCTTGAAGACGAGACTTTGGAAGGAAGGCCATGTGTTCAGGCCATCCACCTCCACACTCACTTTGAGGTTGTCTTCTGAAGGCCATACAGAGCTGTGAGCTTCACAAAAACCCACCAGGCCTTGTCTGCAGCCCTTCACAGCTACAGTGTTTTGTGCGATCGCACAAACCCACCCTCCATAAACAAATAATAATAATAATAATAATAAAGAAAAAAAAGAAAGAAATCCTCCCCCCACAAAAAAAAATGCATCTGAGACGATCATTCCAACTTTGCATGCCACCATAGTAATTCTACTGCAAGCATGGGAAAGACTGATTGCACAAGCACATTAATATTGTGCATTACCAGCTTAGAGTGTTTTAAAATTATTGCCTCAACCAGCTAATCTTCGCTGGGAATTCAGAAAAGCAGCTCATGAGCCCTGTGCTCTGAACACTCCTCTCTGTCTCCACTAATCAAAGATGAGCAAGAAAACTAGTTATGGTGATAAGATTTGGGTGTAACGAAGCTCTAGTTTTGTCCTCGGAGGCTCTGGATTCTTCTAATAGGGTTCAAACTGCAAAACAAAAACCGTTTTGGTGCAGCAAGACAAGCCTGGCTCCCAATCTAACTTCACTTAGAAAAGTGAGCTGACGTGTAATTAATGTGATTCTTATCCTCAGACTCTTCATACTAAAAAGCAATTCAATTACCGTGTGCTCTCACCAACAGACGTTTTAGAAAGATTTATAATGACAGCCATGCTGAAACACATCAAAAGTTTTTTAATCACCTAATGATTTGCCTCTTTAGAAATGCTGCCTATTAGGTAAAGAGTTTGAGAAGACCATGTACCAGAAAACATGTGGGTTTTCACCAGTTTCGTTGCTATTACGGGGGAAAAGACATCCTCTATCAAGAGAGGTCGGATTAATCTCCTAGTTTTAAAGAGAATTTTTAACACCCAAGGAACATTGAGGGCAGCATTTTCTTTCCTTTATTTTTCCACCTAAATACAAGGGACTTTAATTAAAAATGTAAGCAAAAAATACATGGACATAACTGTCTGTACCATAATTTTAAGTTTCTTTACATGTTCCAAGAACACGCATAGCAAGAATACCAGCTAGGTACTCAGCAGATTTTAACACAATTCTTAATCAAGTTCTAAAATAGAATAAAACCATCCCCAAATAACTAGGTTTTAGTTTCTAAAAAGACCCACAAATATGCTCTAGAAACTAAAATTAAGAAAATAAGTTAGTTTAAAATGGTACTTTACCAACAAACATTTCATGTGTGGGTGTCCTACTGGTGAAAGTAGATACATCAGAAGACACAGACAGATGAGCAGCATCGTTAGTTTTTGTAAGGAAAGGATTTAGGTTTGGAATGGCATCATCAACACTATCAACAGTAGCAGAGAAAGGATCTGTTCAATTCCAGAGAGCAAGAGAAAGAAGAAAAGGGAGATAGATTTAGTTACATGTTACTTCTCATGTCTAGAGGAGGAACAAGAGCTTAGAAGAGCAAAGAGTGCAGGAAGTATAACCTTCTCCTGACATCTCTAAATTTGGTGTGACCTAGCTGCTTAATTTAAAATTGTCCAGAATTTGCCATTCTCTGCTCGAGAAAAACACTACCCATATTAACTAAACACTTACTTTAATTTATTCTGTCTTGGTTGCATAAGTTATGTGTTTCCCATGGTATAAGAAAATGGATAATCAGTTTTTTGCTTCACTCATTTGTATCCTGACACTCAACAAGTTGTCTGGAACAGCGAGCCTTCTCCTAGCACAACCAGACTCCAAATGCTAAGTGCAGCTCCTAGGAACCACCATCCTACAGATACGTTAAAAATATACTGTAGGTATATTTTAAAAGATGATTTTAATAAATAGAAGTAAATAACAGTATAATAAAATATATAAGTATATTTTCATATAATATGTATTGTTAAAATATTAATGTAAGTATCTATATATAGAGATAAAATTGAGCTGTTACCCTGTTCCTTCTATCCCTGTTCCTTCTACTAATCTCATAATTCTGTTTACACATTTTAACTGAATTTCATTAAACATCATGGATTTTTCTAGAGCTAAGAATACCCTGAGATGTGATGACAAAACCACACTCCTCACTACTTATTCCACGAGCAGCAACAAAATTGTTAGGACACCATCAGCTGCAAGTAAAATCTCTCCTCCTCAAGGGACACCAGGCAGTGAGCAACCCCATGGTCCTCACCAAAGGCAATACAGGGGGAGGAGGAAAACAAAGTTTGTGTGTATAACTTCCAGAGGTATATAGGAGAATTCCAAGTTTTCTTGGGAAAAGGATACCATTGCCAAGCTACAATACTGTTATTCTGCGAAATCCAGTAAATAAGATGGAGGAGGCAGCTAGAATCAAATCACTGAGAAAAAGCAGTGTGCTTTAAGTGCCTGTCTTCACTGCACATGAATCTTAAGTGAAAACTTCTTAATTGGATTAGCAGGAGTTACACATAGTCCCCTACATGGCTTTGCATTATCCCAGGGCTAGAACTGCAATATGCTATCCTGGGCAATGGTACTACACAGGACTGCCTCAGTAACAGCTGTATGAGAGCTTCCTTAAATACTGTGGTTTCTAGCAGTTTTAAAAATATTCCCCTCAACTTTGCTGAGCAGATTACTGATTTCATCCACAGCTCTTGCAAACACCACCACCATGTAGTTAGTAGCTTCAAGCTGCAAGTTTTATTTCCCTGCCCAAATCCACCCTCTTGGTTCTTAGCTTTAAATCCCACACAACTCGATAAGAGGAAACCTTCAGCCACTTGTAAGCCCTAAAGAAAATGAAATTTTGAAGCCACAAATTGAGTTTTATTTGTGGACTTACATTTACTTCGATTTTCTGTAGGCTTATGCTGTCTTACGCAACGAAGAGCTAACTTTTCTTGCAGATTATCTGACTACACCTCAAGAGTAAGTGAAGTAACTTATAAGTCATTCAGTGACTTATAAGAAGAAAGAAAACAGCCGACGCTGAGTAAAGAATAAACATCATGTGCTAATATTGTAATATATAATAGCCATACAATATCTGGTATTATCTTAGGTCTGGTTGAAAGGCTAGTATTACTACCTACTTGTGGACATGCAAAACACCTGGACTGACTCCTTGCATAGTTGTTCTCTGTATTGAATCCTATTTCAGGAGGTGCAAGACAACCAGCTTTGATGATAAGACAGGTTAGTTTATCCCTCAGACAGCTCATCCTGGCTGTTTCAGCTGCAGCTTCACATTCTTCTGATTCTTTTAACTGACACAAAATTGAAAAATAGCACAGCTCAGGCTGGGATTATTTCCAAAGGGATCTATTTGCTTTGATTTTGAAGTTTAGGTAACTGGCAGATACAGCAACTCAAACACGGCAGTCATGGGTGTCCAATCCAAATCCAAATAAATCCAAATAAAGAACTCTAGATAAAACAATAGGAAAAAGGTTTAAAAAGCACAAAGCTTTACTCTACTTGTATGAAACTACTTTCCAATGGAATTATTTTACGTGTGCACTCATAGGAAAATTACATTACATACTCTCTGGTCTCAAACTCCGAAGCTGGACATGGAATTTCATATGCTTTGACTTAGCAAGACAACACAAGCCAGCTCTAAGTTCATAAAAACATCGTGATACTCTGCTGTGTTTTCAGGTTCCCTCCAAGCCTGTTGCTTGACCTGCTGGTTCTAGCTAGATTGTTCAGTTTTTGCCTGGGTCAACAATTTCCAAGATTACAAAATCACAGGATCATTATGGTTGGAAAAGACTTTCAAGATCAAGTCCAACCTTCAAGCTTTTCAACACCATTCCTGTTAAACTATGTTCCTAAGCGCCTCATCTACATGTTTTCTGAACACTGCTAGGGATGGTGATTCCATCACTTACTGACCAAGGCAACTTAAAAAAAAAATGATTTTGGAACAAGTAATTTATATTTCTGTATATACAGGTTAAGGAACTGTCATCTCTGACAGCAGTTCTACAAATCTTCTAAAATCAAAGCCCATCTTTGAACACATATACCATCTGTTTGTGGAAGCACTCTGCACCTTGAGGCTATAATTAACCATTAATGACTCAGGTGTGTTTAAAAGTCATTTGTATTTTGCAAACTCCTATCTTTAAGTTATCCAGTTAGAAGTATTTTATTTGGGAGAATAGTGACAAAGCATTCTTCTCTATGACAATTCCTACAGTTTGCAAGAACAGGTAAATTGAGAATATACAACTATATAACACGTTCTCTGGGAGTCTTTAATCATTAGTAGTATTTTAAGCAGGAATCTAAAGGAAGCAATCCAAATATAATCCCTTCTAACCGTTCATCCTGCTATTACACACCTAAGACTTGCTGAAAAAAAAACAAACAAACAAACAAACAAAAAAACCCACTTAAGAGTAACTAATTCTAGGCTTACGCTCCTTTGAAGGTCAATTTGAACCCAGTTTGATACCTGAAATTTTAACTGACCTTCAGGGGACAATCTGAAATCTTCATGATTAGTTTAATCTTAAAAGGTTTTAGTAATGTCAAGAGTAAAGCATGTACATCAGTGATGAAAGAATTGTTGCTAGGAATAATTCTAACACTGAAAAAGAAAGACAGACTTTATAGCTAAATTTCAGGTTGTTAATAAAAGATATACTAGACTGTGATACGACCTTTGTGAAGAAGGTCATTTTCTGTTCACCCCCTATGAGATAATTAAGATGTGCTGAAATGGCAGATATATCCCAGAAGGCAGACAAGATGAGCAAAAACATCCTTCTTCATTTCTGAAGGCGAAGCATCTTAAATATTGAAATTCATATGCATAACCTGATATCCTCTCCACTGCGTCCTTCTCAAAAAGATGCTCTGATCAGCAAAAGTAAAAGACAAGGTAAGCTACTTCTATTCGTTTTTGAAACTATGACATATTAATATTGCCACATCACTCAATGTTGTGCAACTTTTACAAACAAATGAGAAAGTACACAGTGCAAGGACACAAAAATAAACAGGAAAGTAGAATATGTGCATTAGTTATTGTGAAGATGTTAGCTAAACAGAAAGACGTGTGGAAAAGCTGCAGCTTATGAAATAATACAGTGGAGAAAGTTTTCACAAAACAGTACTATATCAAAGCCTATGAGGCTTTCTGATGCCAGCAACTCACTTTTTACATCACAGAAGTATTTTAGCAAGTTTCTGTTTTACAGAAAACTACCTGAAAATAGCCACTTAGTTGCAAAGTTAACTATTTTACTAAGTACCATTAACAGAAAAAAGTAAGAAGAAGCATCTTAAAGACTATTAGCTTAAAGATTATTAAACCTCCAGCAGTATCATCAGCACTGCAAACAACCAGTAAATGGTACTTCTACCCGAAGTATTCCAGAACATTGCAAAGCAGCAAAGAAAGTGGAAGCTCTGAGCAAATGACTAATGTTCCAACAGTGCCCGAGTGAATTATCTTGCTAATGACCTTCGAGAACCTGCCTTGCCTCCCTGGTTTACAGTAAAACCAGGAAAGCCATCTAACATTCATTCAGTTCATCCTGCAGCAAAACAGGATGGTAATTTGGCTACTCAGAGAAAAAAAAAAAAAAAAAAAAAGCACAGGGGAGACTCCAATTTCATGTCTTCACCTCACACCCAGCACAGATGTTTTCTAATTTGTTTTTGTAAATAAATATGTAAATATGACAGTTTATCCAAAAATCTTCTGATGCATTTCAGAGGGGGGTGCCTTGGTTTTCAATATGTAATTCTTGCTTTTCTTCTTTAAGTTTTCCATGCGTATTTGCCAAGAATAGCCTCCTTCTCCAGTTCTCCTCTATTACTACCAGTAACAGTGTTAACTTACTTTTTTAGTCTCCAGTCTGGGCATTTGGAAATCCTGTACACGGTGCCACATGGGCTGTCAGACCCCACAGAACTATGACTTCTCACAGACAGATTTCTCTAGTTTGCTACATGACGCACTTTGGAGGACAATAATTATGAGACTGACTCAGTCAACAGCTAAATATATTTTTTACCAGCTATTCTGGTATCAAAACTCTTTGTAATCACCTCAGTCATCTACATTATTTTAACCTCTACTTGGAATTGTTCTTTTTTTCCTCCATTCCCTTGACCTACTCATAGCTTTGCTGAATTTAATATATGGTTTCCTCTAAATTTCCTGTTTTTAAGCAAGAAATAGCCCATGCACTAGGAGAAACAGTGAGGGCGTACAGCCATAATAAATACAACCCACATCCAATTTACAAGCCTTACCTCCCCAGGTACTTCCCACTTGTGGAGCAGCAGATATAGGATGCACAGATGGATGAAAAGTTGGCTGCAAATCAAGTAGATCGTTTGGCAGCTTTGATGTGCTACAAAGACAAATTAAGATACTTGTTTGAACTTCATGAAATAATTTTCAATGCAAAGAAAACATTAACAATTGGCAACTGCTATGAAAGCTTTGCTACATATTTACTGAATATGACTAAATTAAAATGAAGAAGAGAGTTTGCTGAACTTGATTCTTTTCTATGAAACTAAAAATGTAAATTTAATAAGCTAAGTTCTCTGTCATGCTAAACAACTCTTCCAAAGCTAAGACTCAGACATACCCAGCCACCCCATCCTCCTCACACTCTAATCCCAGGGCTAGAGCATCTGAAATTCAATGATCATTATCAGCTTGTAAAGTAATTTCACAAAACCGCTAAATTATGTTAAAATTGGAGTAATGGAGTTTCCTTTAATGGGTCTCCCCCCCCCCAAAAAAAAATGTTACATCTAAATTCCACAACTCGCATGTCTTTCCACTTGCCACTGCTGAGAAATTGCCTATATCCACCATCTATTAAACAATCTGAGGGAAGGGGGAAGAGGCCTTTAGAGACTGCTAACTGGTGTATTCAGACTGAGTCATGTGGATGACAAGTAATTTAAATGCATCTTTTGGACTACTATAAAGTAAATGTAAGGCCAAGAACATCACACAAAATGAAAAGTGAAATATAACTGCTGCAATGACTCCAAGAGTCAAACAGGAACAACTGCTTTACAAAACATTAACTTCATACTTCAAATTCCCCTTGAAAAAACAGAGTATTGGCATCTGCGCAGATTTTCATTAGTACATTAAATAAAACAGATCTTGCACAGGCATCTGCCACACAGCACTAGGTACATGGGCATTTAGTTGATATTTGAAGCAGTGCCATGTGAGATTTTCAAGTTCATCTACGTAACTCAGTATGACACTGTCAATAATGATTTTTTGTGCTTATTACATGATCATCATTACAGACAGAAGCTGTTTCACTGTAGCATCCAAGCACGTTTCAAAATGACCCACGATAATTTTCAGGTAAAGCTTGTTCATGCTACGATAGGACATGTTCAACAATAGCAGAAAACTGAATTTGTGACTCAAATCCTTTGCAGGTTCATAGGATCTGCTGCTGCAATATGTTTGTTTGATCTTAATAACCATGTTGCCAATGACTGCTTTGAAACATGAAACAAAACAGTAATTGTGTTTTTGAAAAGTACTCAGGAATCCTTTAGAATTTGCTATCTATCAGGACTGGAAATACCTTATATGGAAAACACTCTGGTGCTTCATATTAGAAGGAAAGCGAGATTTCTAATTTGCAAGTAAAAAGCTTTTCAGTTGCTGCTAATGTTTCCACAATGCAGCATTTCTGGCTTTCTATCAGCTCTATCAGAATCTTGTGTTTCAGATTACTTAAGCAGCACAATCAGAGCAAGATCACATAGCTCAAGGTTACAAGTTCAACGCAATTATCTGACCCGTTCAACTATTTGGGCCTTTAGCAAGCAAGGCCCAACTACATTACTACTTTTTTTTTTTTTTTTTAAAAAGAAAATCTTTCAGCCACTAACACTGACAGAGCCTCCAGTTCCTGATAAAAATTTTCTACAAATTACCTGTTTCCTACAACCTTGGTATCAAGTAATTTCCCACAATCATTTTCTAACATAGAAAGCAGGCTACCGATGTACAAACTACTTTAAGAACAGCAGAAGGTAAAAGGAAGTGAGTATAGTCTACTCTAAGCTAAGGGGACGAGCAAGCAGTCCTTAGCTAGATTTAGGATGAAATCCAAACCAAAATATGTTTCTGGAAAGCCATTTCCTCCTTCTATGCTGACAGAAGCATAATATTAACATTATTTGACTGGTGTTTTACAGAAGGAAGTTCACACACTCATATCAGCAGTTCTGGCTAGTCAAAGATCAGGATTAGTGGGGAGTGCTCTACCCCTAGGCTTGTAAGTCCTTGCAGATGGATGATCCAGATGCAACTTCAACTGCTAAACCTCCCTCTAGTCTTTCAAATCTTGTTTCAAGCTTCCTTTTTTTTTGTTTTTTAATCTCTAAAAAGTAATCTACCAAGACTCGTTACCACTCTGCTTTTACTGCTTAGAAAAGCAACATTTATAAACATTTATTGGTAATTTCCCCAAGCTACATTGAAAGGTTCTTTGGGGACAAGGCATATACATTTTTCCATTCCAACTGATGGCTCACAAGTTATTAAGAACAGCTACAAGGGAGAGCTTGTTTTTACCAGAAACCAAACTGTAAAGGGAGGATGAAAACACACTTTCTGTGTTATTTACTGCAAGGGGATATTCTCCCCCATCAAGTTTGGAAAAAAAAAAAAAAGTCATATCTAAACAAACTTTTGATACAAACAACCTACTCCACAGTAAGCTCTGCAGCCCTTTAGAGGAAGTGGCAGCTGCAGCCCGTGACAGAATGAAATAATATTGAAAAACGTACCTGTTTGAAGAGCTCGGGGTAGAAAAAATATCAATGGCTGGTGTAGTCATGATGCTTCCTGCTGCAGTCGACACAGGAGAAGCTGCAGTTGTTAGCGAGGTATGAGGTTTCTTTGCAAGTTCTTTTAGACGTTGTTCCTGTTGGAAAAAAATGAGCAGGGCTAAGAAATCCTGCAATGCTTGTGAATGTGGCATTGGAGTTCAGTAAAACAGAGCAGAAGAGTTAATTTCATTTATTCCACATAAAGTGTAACTAGCATATAAAAGGTAAATTTACAAGACCATGTGTCTTTCGGAAACTGGTTTAACAGACCATTTACAAGTTGTATGATATGTGTATGTAGAATCCTACTTCTAGTGTGTTTGCCAACAATATGCGTTCAATATAAATAATCCTGGCTCTTCCCCTGCTCCCCTAATAAGAATTTGTAAGAATTTAGAAAAGTATTTTCCATTAATACCCCGGGATCCTACCTTTAAAGCTTTTAAACGAGCCTGCTCTTCCTCTAACGCCGCTTGTTTTTCCCTTTCATCAACTTTTGTAAGGGACAGGCCGGTGCTTGCAAGAGAAGAGACCGCGTTGGAAAGGGTGGTAGCCCTGAAGTAATTGGAGAGAAGAGCTGGCTGTTAATAGGTGAGACGTGACAGGAACACACACAAACAAAAAAATTCACCTGGATCCACCCTGCTGCCCCGTTTCCTTCTGAACTCTTTAAAATAGAGTTTATCTTGCCCCGTACAGCGAAGCATTAAACAACACACTGTACAAACTGCAAAATAAAAATTCTAAAAAATCATAATATCTCCTCTCTTGTATTATTGGGTGTCAGGTCCCTTGCCCTTAAATGTTTCTTCTCCAAGCTGTATCACAACAATTCACATTTGAAGCTTTGTTCTTTCCCTGTTAACCTATGAAATCATTTAAAATAAGGCAGTGTATTTGTAGATGCACAGGAATCTCTAACAAGGTAGGTTCTAGTTCACAGTGCTGCTAATTTAATAAGTTTAATAGGCTGTTAACACAAGTATATCCCAGCCCAGAAGTCTGCAAGAGGATGCAAAAAGATGCACATAATAAAGCTTATATTCTAAACAAGCTAAAACAGCCTTGCATGAAGAAGAAAAAAAAAAAGTAGCTAAGTACTCCTAAGTCCTGAAAATTGTCACTATCATAACAGCATAAAAATACTACTCCCTTATTGTTTAAACATGTGATGATGAAATGGTATTTTACTTTGCAAGTCTAACCCTCCAGTATTAAGCATCTTTTTTTTTCCCTTTTTTTAATGACTGAGTAATGTCAGTTGCCTAGAGGACTTCTCTACAACTCACTTCATGTTATCAAGTGCTCAAAATCAGCAAATGCCTTTTATCACTTTATTCCACCATTGCTTTAAATATCAACTCTCGATTTAAGGATTTCTGGAAGCATTTTCTTCTTCTGAGGAAAAGGAATTAGAGTGGAAATAACAGAATCTAAGGACATTCAGACACGATGCATAATTTGTACAAGTCTAATTATTGCAATAAAATGAAGATGACCAGGTGGTACAGGAAAACATCCCCAGTTTCTCTTCAAAGAGAAACTTGAGAGTTTGGCTTTCTTAAGAGTTTGGCTGCTGTTCTAAAGGAAATGTTTGCAAGTCTGGATTCTGGTTCTGTTGACCTAGAAAAAGCTGTCTTAAGCACTCACTAAGAGATACTATAACTGGCTACTCCAGTGTTGCTAATGCAATACAATCTTCTTTGCAACAGAACCTACACAAACATTAGTTTATGGGGGAAACATAAATAACTGATTTAATATTCGATTTGAAAATTGCATAGAAGAACAAGAGCACAGACACCTGCTTGCAGCTGTGGAATCTTTGATTTTCTTGCCTTCAAGAGAAGCTAAATGCTGTTCCAATGCATCAAGGAGGCTACTTGGTGCCTGAAAAAAACACCATGACAGAGATATGAAGAATCTAAGAGAAAGCTAACACTTCAAGAGACTGCAACTGAAGCGTAACTGGCACAGCAGCTCTGAATACTGACATGTTTTGGCAGCCAGTATATATTTAATTATCTGAAATATCAGGTGTTGCAGTCTCATCACTCCCTGATAATGAGCCTTTATGACACAGAGTAAGTAACTGAAATATGTCAAGGGATGTTAAACAGAAACAGATAGGAAAGCACAAACAGACAATTGGAAGCAGTCAATATTTCTGAGATACTAAGAAGGAAATTGTGCTTAAAGTCAATTCTACAGACATGCTCTGCATATAGCAACCCTCTCCAGTGATGAGAGGCATGCAGCCAAAATTAAAAATTGACAAAAAATCGTAGCTCCATATCACCACATAAAAGTTTCATTATGTGAAGTCAGATACAAACTGTGTCTTCAAGCATGAGAGAAATTAGCTTGACTGAAAATCAATTAGAGTATGACAAAAATGATCTATAGTATCTTACAACAAGACCATTGCATATGAAAGCCAGGCTCTGACGGGCTGGATTTAATCACAAGCTTCGAAACAACTTGGTGTCAACATATGCCAGAGTGCTGAAGCGTAGGCCACAGTGCCAAGTTTTTCCAATTATGCAATCCCCAGACGGACAGGTACTGACAAAGGCATAATGGGTTTATCTACCTGGGAAAGATCTGGTATGTCTCCTCTGTCGATTCCAACTTGCTGTAACGAAACAAATGAACTTCAGAACCTGTTCGCATTTGTTAAAGGCAGAGATGCTCAGAAAGCAAACAGTAAGATGAAATCATGCAAAAGACAAGCCTTTGTGTACACGTTTTAGAGCTCCACAATCTGGACGCTAAAATGGTTGGGTGTAACAAATAAATCCTTCTGTTAAAAGTATAAATGTTTGAAGTAGGCTTGGTATAGAGGTATTTGGTGTTTTAATGGGTACCAAGGACTAATTGCCTTAGAAAGTATCAAGTGCTTCAAAATAGTGAATCCAGAGAACTTTGTCACACAATTTATAGGGTAAGTTATCAGAATTACTGACATAGCAACTATTTGCTAATACAAGGCGTCTTTAAAGCTTTTTGAAGAAGCTTTATGTAACAGCTATTGTTATTTCCTAAAGAACACTATATATAAAGTGTTGTGCAACGTAGATATACATTTTCACAATAATAATAATAAAAAAACATCAACAACTCCTTCAAAGGAGAGAAAGTGAATCAAGCTTTACTAACTTAACATTTTGCATGAAGTCATCAGTAATTGAACAGGAAAATAAACAGAGAAACATCTTTCACCTGAGAAATTACATAACACTGGGACATTATTTCAATGGTGCTTCAGAAACAAATATGCAACAAGCTAGATATATTAAAAAATATTTTGCAGAGCAACATGTTTTTCTTCTATTCTGACAAACCCTTGCACAAACAAATCTATGGGAGCTGGCCAGGGCAGAGTCTCAAAACTAAAATACTCAAAATACTCAAAACTAAATACTACAATATATTCATTTCCTTATCCCAGTTTCTTATTTGTTAAGCTGCTGTGTCATTTCTACGAGTCATCCTGGCAAGATGAGAAATTTCCAACTGGAGTAGAATCACAGAAAAATTATCAGTTACTTTTCTGGTTTACAGTAAGATTCTTTTCAAAGACTGCTCAAATTATGTAGCAAGGGAAATAATAAAGTTTTCATATTTATATCCATCCTTAGCATAAGATTAACTAGGAAATATTTTGTTTTCTACACAGTCCCCAAATGAATTAATCAGCAGAGTAGAGACTGGTAAAAATGAGGCTTGATGGAATGAAAGGGAACACTCATGTGCTTTATCAGAAAATAAGCACTTCGTAAGTTATTTCAGATGAAGGGCAAAGTTGGGCTGACTAAGGTTTACCTCTGCAACTTTGAGGAACTCCGAGATCCGTGTCATTCTAGTGAGGAACTTTTTATAAATATCAAGGCCTTCTTTGCACTGGTTCTTTTTCATATCAAAGTATTTTTCTATAAATAGTGAAATAGTAAGAATATTCACATTAAATAAGAATTTAAGCATCTTACATTGTTACTTGTCTTTATTTCCGAGTATATAGAATACGACAAACAGAAAACATTTTCAGATTTTTATCATGTTAAACGTGGAAATGCCACTCTATCAATCCTGAGCTACATGCAGTTAAACCTTACCAGTACCAGATGTCACATAACCAGAAGCAGCCTAGCAGGGAGAGATTTCCAAAAAGATGCAAATTCTTTCTCTTGGGGAGAAAAAAAAAATTATGATGCAACAGCCCCAGGCCCATGCTATTCAGTGGTTTGGGATTAGGAGCATGAGGGCCCTTCACTGACTAATCCTGGATTTCACTTTCCATGTTGCAGGTGCAGATTTCCCTATGCCCCCAGTGTTGGCAAATAAAAGACCCTGAAGCCTGAATTTGTGATTTCCTCCAATATACAACATATATTTTAGAATTATTAAACCTTACAACAGTAAGTTTTTGATAGCCAAGCCTTTGCAAATGCGGTAACTGCAAATTCCCAAGGGATCATACCTAAGTCCAATTCAGAAAGTACAGACATGTTTCTTAAAGAACAAAACACTGGTTTCATCAAGATAAATAA